AACGCGCCATTGAGGGCCGCGTTCAGTCTGGTTCTCGCGAAGCTCATGTTTGGGCTCAGGGTCGCGTTTGGGCTCACGAACGCGAAGTTCGCGTTGGTTGGAGAATCGACTTTCTCGAAGTTGTGCTCGTCGCTGAGACCTTCTTCTTCGCCGAGCAGCGTTCTTCTTGGCCTGTTTTAAGGCTTTTGCAGAGGCATCATCGGCGTTTATGGAGCTCGTTTCCTCTCTAAGCCGTTTATGGCCTGAAGCACATCGTGTTGACGCGGATGTGGGACATTCAACTCGCTGGGCGAGTTCGGCTGAGGCTAAGCTCGCTCCTGAAGCAGAGTGACTGGTCGACAAATTGCGGCCAAAGGAGAGGACTTTCTTCGGCACTCCAGCAACAGTTAGAGATTTATTCTCCTTGGAGACTTTGTGGATCTTGCGCATAGCCTTGGGGCTAAGGGATCCGGAAGAGATAGCCTCCTCAAACTTGGCTTGATCAAACTCTACCACGAGAGTTTCGACAGTTGTTGAAAATTGCAATGAAGAGAATAAAGAAAATGTGATTTTTGATTCCTTTGATCTCGGTTACAACTTGATTACAAAAGAGAGGAAAACGAATTTGGTTTTCCCCTTTGTTTAAAACTGGGTTCTTCACGGTGGCGATGGAGTGCCTCTCTCGAATGCTTGCGTCGAGTTTGCTCTCCGTTGACGATCCGCACGTCTTGATTCACTGTGCCTCCCTCGAATGCTTGCGTCGAGTTTGCTCTCCGTTGACGATCCGCACGTCTTGATTCACTGGAACGATGTCTTCTCCTCACGATTTGACGTTGTGGAGAACTTGCGTGGCAAGTTTGAGAACTCAGAACGAGTTTAGAAGAACTCTGTAAAAGAGTTGATTTGAACCGAAGATCGGTTAATAAGCCAAGGCTAGAGGCTCCCTGTTGCTGAAGTTGAAGATGATCTTCGTTGGAAGATGATGCTGATCTCCTCCGAAGTTTGCCCAATGATTTCCCCTCTTGCTGCCAATTCTCAGCTCCAAGCAAAACCTTCAATGGTCGATTCAAGCCAAGAAAATCCCACCGAAAAAAAGGGGCCTGAACTGAATTGATCTTCAGTTATTTATAGAGGATTAAGGGGGTGAAACCGCCCCTTAAATCTCTCCTAAGTGGGATGTAACCGCCCCCAAATCGTGGGCAACGGTTTTAGAACCGTTCAACTCATGTTGAATGAGTCAAACGACCACGTTGGCGTTCAGGACCCTAACCTCACGTCTTAGGATTGAGACGCGAGGTTGGGTGTTGGCTGAACATTGATGAACGCGAGGGTCGCTCGCGTTTCGCCTGTTTGTAACGCGGGGTTCGACCTTGGTGTTTTGATGTTGAAACGCGAGGTTCGACCCTGGCGTTTTGATGTTGAAACGCGGGGTTCGACCCTGGCGTTTTGATATTGTAACGCGGGGTGCGACCTTGGCGTTTTGATGTTGAAACGCGAGGTTCGACCTTGGCGTTTTGATGTTGAAACGCGGGGTTCGACCCTGGCGTTTTGATGTTGTAACGCGGGGTTCGACCATGGCGTTTTGATGTTGAAACGCGAGGTTTGACCCTGGCGTTTTGATGTTGTAACACGGGGAGGACCTCCGCGTCTTGCCTTGCAGAGATTATCACCAAGTAATCTCTTTTTGTCATAGCGTTGCAAAGATCATTGTCTTGTAATCTTCGTCTTGGCTCCTTGAGAATATGAGATGTTGATACACGGGGAGGACCTCCGCGTCTTGCCTTTGTCATTGCGTTGCAAAGATCATTGTCTTGTAATCTTCGTCTTGGCTCCTTGAGAATATGAGAGTCGTCAGATTGTAACTCCCGATGTTGATTGTGAATGCTGTTGAACTAGAGCTCTCATCGGTTGTCGTGAAGGTCGTCAGATTATAACCTTCAGCGATCTATGTGAAAGTCTTCAAATTGTAGTCTTCTGGAAGTCGTCAGATTGTAACTTACATCATCGGTGTTTGATGGGGGATAAGCTATCTATTGTGATTTTTAGACAGCCTACACATATATTCAGAATATTTCATATACAGATTCAGATATTTTACCACATCTCTGTATCCAAAGAGAATAGGTTCTCCCCTACCTTCTATCCTTGGTATTATCAGTATTCAAAAGAAGGGGTAAAGCTAAACATATCCAATCTCTTTAACGGGTTTATACCCAAAACCCGCTGAAAATGAAGTTTGACCCGTTCGCCCAAACTAGGGTTTGCTCTGGTTCGAGATCAGGTTAGATCCGAACCGAGCCCGAGCTCATTAATCCCCGTCGTCTTTCGTCTTCCCTTTTCGAGCCCGAATCCGAGAGCTCCTCGCTAGGGTTCAAAGAGCAAAAGAAAACCCTCAGAAAACCAGCGGCCGCAGTGAGAGCAGCAATGGTGAGGCTGACGGCGGATTTGGTATGGAAGAGCCCTCACTTCTTCAACGCGATCAAAGAGCGCGAGCTCGACCTCCGAGGTACAAAACCCCACTCAGAACCCTAAACCCTGGCCATTCGTTTTCCTCGGAGATTTAATATGGTGTTGTATTTTGGGATTTAGGGAACAAGATCGCTGTTATCGAGAACTTGGGCGCTACTGAGGTAACTTAAAAACCCTAAACCGCTTTCAGTTGCTTGATCGTAGTAAGAAATACTCGCTGACCTAGGTCTGGAAAAACTTGTCTTTTCTCGAAAGTTCGTTTGTAGGAGTCGATTTTTTTTTTTTGATTAAAAGAGGCGGAACATGGGTCATTAGATCAATTTGCCCCCATTGAACCCCATTAAAATGTTATTATTGAATGTTATTAATTAAATGATCTCCATATGTCTGATGGCAACAGTAACAAAATATATATATATATATATATTATTGAATCAATGCCTAACGCGCCTTTCATTATTGCCTCAGTCTAATGTTTACTTTAGGTCCATCCCTTTTTCCTGTCACTCCATCAATTAGAATCCTGGTACTTCTAGTTGGAGATTTCTCACATTCTCGAACCACCTCCATCAGACTCATTTTATCCTGATTGAGCTATCGCGGACCTCATTCTATTGATGCACACATTTTCTTACCCTATATTTTGTGCCCAAGGCACCAGCGTGTTCATACCATCTCATTTGATTCTTAATTTATCCCAATTGAGCTACTTCCAAAGCTCCATTCTTATTGTTGTGCGTACTGTGTATAATGAGGATATAATGATGATAGATGTGTTCTAGGTCCATGAAGGCTTAAGAACAACTTTCTTGCCTTGTACCGTTTTATGAAGTACCAAATGAATATGCGCGCGCGTGTATGAATTTATATCTACCCAAAAACTTATAGGTCATTTTGCTCCATCATCTGATCTTTCTGCTTCATCATCTGTGTCATGTTTTCATGCTAAGACGAAATCATATGAAATTACATAAATACTTGCACATATTAAGTGCAGTTATGGGGAACATCTCGATTTCCTCTGTGGGTAACCGTCAAAATTATCACGGACTAGTTTTTGAATTGATTTTAACCATCAAATTAAATGTGAATAACCTTGTCTTCTTGTCTTTGAAACAAGGGGCACTTTTGTTCTGTGTGTCCAGATTCATCTTTTTTACCATGTTTTATATAGACCTAATATTTTAGGGTCACCTTTAAAAATGTCAACTTTTATGAACTAGTTATTTAGCTGTATTACCTTGAATTGGAAGTCCTTTAACTAAATGAGTGGTTATCTTGTAATTTTCCTTCCTTCTTTTTCCACTACGCTGTAGACTGTGCTTCTTTTGCCTAAGTAGGTATAATCTGTTATTTTTTATAATAGGTAGTGCATTTTAATCACTGTTTTTTTACCTATATGCATACCTTTTGGCCTTTGCAGGACCAGTTTGATACCATAGATTTGTCTGACAATGAGATTGTTAAGCTTGAAAATTTCCCTTACTTGAATCGTCTTGGCACGTTGCTGATTAACAATAACAGAATTACCCGTATCAACCCCAACATTGGAGGTACGGAAAGTTGGAACTTAAAAAGATTAGATGATAAATATATTTTACTTACTATCATGTCGTGATGTGTTAATTCTTGTGTTATTGCAGAGTACTTGCCTAAATTGCACACTTTGGTTCTTACAAACAACCGTCTTGTCAATTTGGTAGAGATCGATCCACTTGCATCTCTTCCCAAGCTACAGACCCTTAGTTTACTGGACAATAACATCACAAAGAAACCAAATTATCGTCTTTATGTGATCCACAAATTAAAAGGCTTGCGGTTGCTAGATTTCAGGAAAGTTAAACAAAGGGTGAGCCTTTTCTCCAACTGCAATAAAAGCTTCTACATATATTTTTTTGGTCTATTTGTTGCATCTTGTAATAATCTATAAATATTAGCTACATCAGTAGTATCTGTCTTGAAGAACCTTGTTTTGTCCATACTGCCCCTGGGCTGGAGCATTTTGCTTTATTTGGACCTATCTGTATAAATACAAGGAAATATATATCATAATCATAACTACATTTCGGCACATATAAGAGTTTCAGTGTTTCACTTTACAGATATATTTATGGTGATTGTGATATTCAGAGACACTGCATAAATGTTAGTACTTTTTGTTAGTTACATACCGTGCTGCCCATTACATGACAACTGTACTTCAATACTGCCAAAATATGTGAACCTCTGACTCTGCACCTTCTTCCCTCAACAAACCAAATAATTTCACATCCACACAGAACCAAATAATTCCACCTCCACAGAATGAAGCTTTCACACAGTAGTAGTGATCTGTTATATAATATTAGTTTCATATAGCCAAGATTCAAAGTTTTAGATATCATTTGTATATGCCTTAGTGTTTCATGTCGATTGAGGGCACATTAGTAAATGTACAGATTTTTTGAGCCACTATGTATTACGTTGGCGACTGCTGTAGCACTCACGACCATCTGTGTGCACTTTCATCTGGAAGCTCCACCATGTGATATATAGGGATGAGCGTCCATGATACTACTGTTAATACTCTTGAAACATACCCAGCTTTACCTCTCTCTCTCTCCACACAGAGACATCCACACATCAAATACAGCAACGGATACATGTAAATGCACACATTATGTGTGTGCAATCTATGATTCTATTCTATTCCTTATGTATGTGGCCTTAGATCTTAGATTTTGATTCCTTTAACGTTCAGTTGAGTTACTGCCTTGGATAATGGGTGTGCTCCTGAAATGTTTATCCATATGCAAGTCTTCTAAGATGTTCTATTTTGAGGATTGAGATTTTGCTAATACACTACTTTTAACAATAGCCATGTGAGAGATAATAAGTTAAATTCATCAAGTGTTCATGTGAATTTGATCGCCTTGTGGTTTAGCCTGTTTTGTGAATTTTGTGAACTTATGGGTTAGCTTGTTTCTTTCGGGAGAGATATACTCTGTATTCGTGTCTATTTTACAATCACAAAAGTTGTTTGTCCGACATATTTTCTATCAAGGATTTGGACTTGTCATATCTAATTAAGACAACAGCTTGGGTCCCACATTTTTTGTTGTTTTTATGTTTCTTCTTGGAGATATGGTACAATAAGTGGCAGCTAAAAGGGGAAAAAAGTGTGGTCTACTTTCCCTAGCCATGACTGTCTCCTTTTTGCGAATTAGATGCAAAATGCCCAATCATATTAATAGGAAATATACTATGCACATAAAGGAACATGGTAGCTCGAAAACTAATATAAAAATAAGGATCTTCTCAATTGCTTAGTCACCTTAAAAATAGGAAGGACTAAGGAGGAAAGGAAAAATATGTGAAGAATATTCAAAAAAAGATTTTCATCTTGCTTATATTTTATCTTACTAAAAGCTTTGGGATCAATGCTTAAAGCTTGCCAGAGCCTAGATCTTCTTCAAGGGAGCTCGGCGGATCTTGGTTGATCTTGCTGGACATCTTCAACTCGAGTTTGAACATTGTCTATTATAAGTTTCTCTTCATTTCAGAATTTCCTCCCATTTTTCACAAGTCCCAAGTGAGATATATGTAGAAGTCATGTTTTTTGTCTCTTTTCCCCCCCTCTTATGTAGGCTTATTTTGCACTTTTTCCTTTATTCACATGAACCTTACCTTTAGATTCTCGAGAAGTTAGTGCACCAAGAACCTTCTTAAATTAAGTGGTATCAGAAATGTAATCATGAACCCATGTCAAACAATATTGGAACATTAAATAAATAGATAAAGAAGAAATTAAAGATCAACCTCTAATAACAATCAAATTATTCCTATAGATCTTTGATTTTGTTCCAGAGAAAACAAGACATGTCCTCAAAATTTGAAAACCACGAAAGTTTGAGATAAAGGCTGTGTTGTTATTGTTGCATTTGCACCATTTGTCAAGGTTGTCTTTTATGAGTTTATCAAGGACATAACTGAAGCGAAGCTCTCAAATGGAACCAAGTTACTCAATTTTTTATGTGGACAATGCATTTTATAAGTAAAGTAGATGAGGTCTCGACACATAGGATTTTTAGGATTTTTTGAACGAGGCTTCTTGAATAATAATTCTTGAAAAAATAATTGGAAAAAATATGTTAATGGAATTTGGTTAAGACTAAGTTATTTGAGTGGGATTTTATTTATGTTATTGCTATCATATATGTGATAATGTCTCTTAATTCCTAACTTCCTCACAAACTCAATCTAAATTAACTTTTGTCATATTGTTTTAAATGGATGCTTATTGGTGATAACTAAGTTATTTCTCTCTTCACGGCTTCCTTTGCTTTCTTTTTAATGTTGGTGATTATGTTTGGTTTGTTTATTGTTTTCCAGGACATCTATATGCCTCATGATTATGTCACAACCTTTGATTTTCTCATTTTACATAAATGGCTTGATAATGCATTTGCTTCTGTTTTGTGCTCTTCGCACACATCAGACATTTGAAATGACTTTAATCTAAGCAATCTAACTATATCTATTTATGTGATTCCCTTCCTCCGTAATATGTGAACTTTTCTATTCATTTCCATTTTGTTCACATTATATAATTTATAGGTAAATATTGAGCATTCCTACTCAGATGATTCCTGTTTTTGTTAATGCAAAAGCATAGCAGTTCAGGTTTATTGATGCCGTTAATTGTTTTGCATTTTTTTCTGTTTCACTTTCGATAACATTATATCAGGCTTCAAAGGATAAATATTTTGTCAATAATAGGAAAGGGATGAAGCAGCAAAATTGTTTGCGTCCAAGGAAGCAGAGGAGGAGGCCAAAAAGGTGCCTGCAAAGACATTTACTCCTGGTGAGGTTCCAGATGCAACGGATGTTTCAAAAATAGAGCAAGCTCCTAAGGTTGTGGCGCCCACGCCAGAGCAGATTACAGCTATTAAGGTATGCATAGTATTTGTACCCGTCTCTCTTTTGTCGTAATTTGATAAATTTTCTTGAATTTTCTGTTTTCTGTAAGTTACAGTTTGCTTTGTCTGTATAATCTTGTATCGAATTGATAATATAACTGAGGCAGCTATGAAATAGAGACATTATATTTGAGTTGATTACATCTGATCTGATCAAGTTATTTGTATGGATAGTCTCACAAGAAACTTAAACTATGCGTGCAGTTGGTAAGAAACATGTTTTGCCATTTTAGATGACTTTTGTTTTGAAAATTTGAATCCATGTGCCTCTTTTCCTTGATATGTATCTCTACCTCAGGCTGCACTTGTCCTCTCTTGTCTAATTGTGCTTGAAGTTCTTGAACTTAAATCTTCTTTCTTTGCTTTGTTTAGTGTTCTTAGTTATGAGTCTTATGACTTATTTCTATTCAACCATTCATGTTGTAAGATCTCTGGTCTAGTCATCATTATAGGTACTAGACAGTTATTTCTTGTCTAATGAAAAATTTTCTATGGTATCATCAGTTACGATTAATGATAATTTCCTATTTCTATGGTATCTTCAGGCTGCAATTGTGAACGCTCAAACACTCGAGGAAGTTGCTAGGCTGGAAAAGGTATTTTTATGCAGAGAAAAGCAGCTTTCTGCATCTTTCTCTGTTATTTTCCAATACTTCCCCTGTTAAACCTGTTTCAAGGCTAAAAATCAGTTTGGCTTGCTCAGGCTTTGCAGTCAGGCCAGATTCCTTCGGATTTTGTTATTCCAGGCCAGAATGATACGGACATGGCCTCGGTTACGGCCAAAGATGACAAGATGGACGCTGATGGTCCCGATCAATCTGACAAGGATCAAAAGAATGAACAAAATGAAAGCAAAGAAGACCAGAAACAAGAGAATGATGGCCCTGTGCCTATTGAGCAGGTGATACTTCAGTTAGGACAATATTAATTGTTCTCTCTTCTGATTTCTCAATTATGCTCATTGCTCATTGTCTTTCTGCCTCAACCTAGTCTTAATTCCTCTCTTCAAGTTCAGATCCTTTTTTTGACAATCTAAAGGCTGTAAAGTTCATTCCATATATGAAAATTTTCAAGCAGCACCTGTGTGGTTGGATACGCAGCCATGCTCTTAGTACAATTTGATCTTTGTAACTACTTAGTTATGTTACATATGTAAAGAGTTAAAGGTCAGAAAAAGTCAGTTTTGCCTCTTTTTCCTGATTGTTTCAAATGAAACCTTTCTGAATTTCTGGTTTACCTTTCTAGGAATAGCTTAGTGTTGTTCAGAATGGTTCTAGACAATATAAAGGAAAAATGATATGAACTTCTTATGATGTTATTTGGATGTGAGCCAAAGACGAAGTATCCTTGTGCCATTTCTTATGTTCAATCAGTATGTGTGAATTTATGTGCAACAGTTGAAACATCTTTGGAAACACTCAACTGAACTTGTTGTCGTCTCATCCCTCTCTTTTACAGGATTAGGCTATTGCAGTGCGCTATCGGCTCGTTCGATCAATATACTCCGTAGAGAGTGGAAAGGTTCTTAATAGATTTTCTTCTCAACCGGCTTGTATTAGATTCTTGAGGTCTTTTCTGAAGCTTTTTGGTCAAGTTCGTCAAAGACAGCAATATTTTGGCATCGCATTATCTTATTTAGAACCATCAACTATCTTTTCGAAATTAAGCCTGTTACGGCAACTCACGAGTCTCTCAGCATTTTGTAATATTGTGCTGCGAATTACTGCAGGAGATGGTGATGGTAACAACATCGAATGCGCTGTATATTATATATCAAACATGTTATAATCTAGTTTCCGCAGGCTAAATCTGTTTAGGATGTTTATGTTAGCTTTTGAATTTTGCTGACATTCCAAGTTTTCTGACTGATTAGTATAAATTCCAAGGAGATGTGATGGTAATCGATCTCTTCACTATTATTTTTTATTTTTATTTTATTTTTTTGGGCATGGAGAAATCTCTTCTTCAACTTCCTAGTTAATAGGATAATTTGTGTATAAATTACAAGAAATCTCCTCAACTTTTGAAGGATTCATATAGAAACACTGTTTGGTTTTTAAAGTGACAATCTGGTCCGTTTCTTTCGTTCTACAAGTTAAATCGAAATAAAGCGAAGTGATTATTTATGGTAATTTTACGGTTCCATCCGTAAACATGTATGCCATTTCTTATTAAAATTTAATGATTGTGTCAAATATTTCAATAATGAGATCAATTCATATGAGCAATATTGATATTTTGATTTTAATTTATTCTTCAAATAATTTATTTATATATAGATAATACTCGAATAAAATGAAAATCATATATATAAATCATGATTATCCACAAGTAATTTTTAAGTAAAAAAGAAAGAAAGAGAGAAAGAAATTGGCAACGGCTATTGACCCAAACGAACCGACTCCGAGTCCGATACGTTTCCATAATTGAAATTTGAGAACCTCTCGCGTAGAACCTCTCGCGTAGAACCAACGCAATCTCCATTCTCATACCAAGGAGGTACTTTTTTATTACTTTTTTATTTTGCAAAATCTTATTTGGATGATAAAAAGTAGAAAAAGAGAAGGTTGAGGAGTTAAATGATGTTGTGCATACTTTCTTATTGTTCTATTTGGTTATCACCCAAAGGTAATAACAGAAAGAGAACAAGTAAAACTAAAATTATATTAAAGAAGGCTAAATGGCACTTAAATGCCTTATAGTTTCACGCTATTAGCACTTATGTACCTTTAGTTGTATTTCGTAGCATTTATACACCATGAGTTGGTAAAATTTCTTACTTTGACGTAAACGTATACGAAGACACTTAGATAAACCCGAATGCACAAAAATGTATTGCATATCAAACGAAAAGATAAGATAAACGTGCATCTTCGAGGCCCGTCAAAGCCGCCTTGGTTCACACCTCCCGGGTGTTTGGTGTAAGCTTATTTTTAAAATCTTTTAAGCGATACATGTTAGTTTTTCGGTAAAATTTTTACTTTTCTCATGAAAGTTTTATAAATTTTGTATGGATAAAATAGTCATTTTTCTTGATAAAATCTACCTTGTGTATGTGAGCTTATAATCTATTTATGCATAACTCAAGGAGTGCTAACTCTTTAAAATGGAGCTTTAAAAGATAAAGTTCTGTTTAGATATCATGGTGTTTTACTTATTTTCATGGTGTTTTTACCAAAAATAAAAAACACCATGCGTTTGGAAGCCATGGTGTTTTTTGAGCTAAATCATCTTCAAACTTAAAACAAAATACTTATTTCAAAACACCTTTTAGGTGTTTTTAAGTGTGGTGTTTTGGTTTTGAGTTTAAGAATGTGTTAATATAATATCTAACATAATATATTAAATATAATTATTATAGAGTTATTATCAACATGCTTATTATATTATACTAAACTATACTAGCGAGGTATCTCGCAGGAAAACACAGCAAGTTTTGTATGGATACTTTGCTCTCTACTTCAGAATTTGGATGCTCTTATTTTAACCCTAAAGAGTCCAAGAATATGATGCACTGCTTCACTAGGCAGCCTCCAATGGTCCATATATAGAAACCTGCACTCCTGAGCCATCAAAAGAGCAAAGGCTTGTTGTCGTGGATAAAAGTTGATTCCGCGAGCAAAGGTTCGTTTCCGTCTGCTGTACGTTCATCGTGTTACTTTTAGATTACTCAATTTCTCATTATATTTGCACCAGATAGTATCTCAAGTTAGTTGTCTTGAGTCAGAGAGTGACCATACATAGTCTCCAAAATGCTTGATACTGGAGATTTTTATCTACTTTGGGCAAGGTTTTCTTTTTCCTGATTCATGAGATAGTTCGTAAATAGCATCTTAGACCAATTCAGAATTAGGCTTTTGCAGTGAAAGAAAAAAATTCTCAAAGAATTTAATAGATCAATATGTCAAATTAGCATGTACAAGGAAGAAGAGTGAAGTAAAAAACTAACCCGTAAATTTTTTTATTTTTTTATATTATTTTAATTTTGAATGTGAAAAAGACATACAATGTCTCTCTCTTCTATTAATTCATCTCTAATTGACAACACCATTTCCATGTCAAAGAGAACGAAATATGGGAGAGAAGGATCAATGGCTCGACTTGCAATCTGAGCTCGACAGAATCAACCCTGCAGTTGAGATCGAGAGAAAGAAGAAGCACTGCATCTACAGGGTGCCGAAGATCCTTAGAGACCTCAACGAGGGGGCCTACACACCCCAGCTCGTCTCCTTTGGGCCGTATCACCACGGCAAGGACCACCTCAAGCCCATGGAGTGCCACAAGCGCCTGGCTCTCTCCGCCTACCTTTCGCGGTCAAATAAGACGCTGGCTCAGGTAGCGGAGGCACTGAGGCCCTCGGTATTGGACCTCATGGACTCGTACGAAGGCCTGGAGGAGCCGTGGACAGACGAGGATAAGTTCTTGGAGCTGATGATCCTTGATGGATGCTTCTTTCTTGAAATATTCATTTGGGACAATGTGAAGCTCTGGAGGCGATACATGAATCGTGCAAACTGGATGGACATGCGAAGGCTTGAAAACCAGTTGCCACTCCTTGTTCTTGCTATTTTGATTGAAGTAGGTGGTCACGAGGTAACCTGGTCGCCTCTTGCAAACTGATTTTTGACATTCTCCTACTTCGGCCCTTAATTTAGTTGAGAATTTTTCGGTTGTCATCACTCTTTAGAATCTGAAATAGAAATAAAAACATGGTACTCTGGTAGAATCTAACCTCTGCTAGTTTTTTGAACTAATAAATGACTGGTCAACAGCTCAAAGATACCGAGAACTTCATAAGAGGTTGTGATGACATTTTTTACTCAGATCAGAAAACCATCAGAGGAATGGGCCACCACTTGCTCGACGTTTCAAAGAAGAATATGACGGCCATAGGTAACTACATGCACGACCATGACTTGATCGTTCGCCCAGCCACAGAACTCTTCCAAGCAGGGGTGACCTTTGAGAAAGCTCAAACCGTTTGTTACAGTGATATTAGCTTCACAAATGGAGTCCTCAGGCTCCCTAATATCATGTGCCACAGCAACATTGAGAACATCTTCCTCAACTACATCGCCTACGAGCATATACACAGAGGTGTGGGCACTGCAGTTAGTTCCTTTGTCTTATTTATGGATAATATCATCGACAAGGATGAAGATGTGGCTCTACTCAGGAAGAAAAAGATAATCGCCTCCACGACAGGAAGCGACAGCGAAATCGCTTCGTTCTTCAATCGCCTCACCAAGGGATTGCCGCTCTTGGATAAGATCCATGACACTGTGAACGTGAACAAGGACATCGAAAATTATTGCAATAGGAGGTGGCATAAGTGGCGTGCAGTTTTCATCCAGACTTACCTTAGCAACCCTTGGGTTTTTATCTCGCTTTTGGCAGCATTCCTCCTCTTGGTTCTGACGATTCTCCAGACAACCTACTCAATCATGGCTTACTACAAAAGCTCTTGATCTAGTTGAATTGTTGATACATCGAAGTAGATGCTGCAACATTCGTACAAGAATGTTATCTTCTATTCTCTTCTTTATGATTGTGACTTATCAATTCTCTTCCTTCCTGCAACATTTGTACTAGAGAGTGTTATCATCTGTGATCACTTAATGAGCAATTATGATTTGTTTTGAATATAAACAGAAAAAGCATTTTATTATAAAGACATTGGTTAAGGAAGAGAGAGATAATTGGAGTGAGGGTGAGTGGGACCGTGATTCTCACATAATCAGGCTCCTCTCCAAGGAAATATCGACTCAATTCTGAGGTGAATATAGATGGAGGTGAATCGGGAAACGTGAACGGCCATGTAAACTTTGGCCAGCAAAACAATTGCCAGTAAAATGACCATTTCGTTCATTGAGTCATTATCACAAACACGTTGTTGGCATGACTGTTGCTCGCCAAAATTTTGGCCATATTTACTAGTGTTCAACACTCACAACTTTCATCCGCAAAAATTTCCAAACGCTTTGATGTGCATCAGGACCAATGAAACTAGCAACAGCGTTCTCAATCTTAAATTAAATACATTATTCTTACGAACAATCTCAAAAAATTTCTATCAGATAGCTTTGCTCCTGTCAACTCCGAGTCAATGTCTTCATACTTTGATTTCGAGGAGGAAATTGATGGCCAAAATATTGAAGAATTCAAGTTGCTGGAGCAGTTAGAATGAGTTACAAATGGTTCAGTGATGTTTTTGTTTTTTTATCCTTTAGAACTCTGTTCCATTGTGAACCGTTATGTTTTTGGTTTTTGTTAGAACTTATTATGATATTCCCCTTGTTGGAGATCCATGGTTATGTTCAGAGGGGTGTTGTTTTTCATTCTCTGTAGCTTCTGATATGGACTATAATACTCACTCTTGGTTGGGGGTGTGTATTTTTTATGTAACAACCATTTTTTATTAATTTAGCTGGCTGTATTACCTTTGTGGTAGTCCATCCTTTTTCTCAAAAAAAAAAAAGAGGGGGGAAAACGCAAGTTATGTAAAATGTAGCTTCTAAAGGAAGGAAAAAGCACTGGGGATTTTTAAATTAAACTGTCACCGAAAATGATTATAAAAGGGTGTTTTAGGCAAAATAAAAAAATTACTTAACCTTAATATAAAAGAAAATTTAAGCCATGTTTGAATTGGGGACTTATTTTTATACTGGAATTAATGTAACTTACTATCGCCATGAGATATAATAATATATGAGATTATAGTGAGTTAAAATTTTAATAATATATTTGGTTTAGTATATTAATAACACTTATGATACCTATCTCATATTTGGATCTTGACATTATAAAGTGGTATTAGATTAGAACATAACAATGTCTCTAATACCCTTCTACCAACTGGTCATATTTCGAAAAATTAATGAAAAGAGGGGAAAAAAAGAGAAGTGCTTTCTCAAGGAGGTACTTTCTTATTATTTTTTTATTTTGCAAAATCTTATTTGGATGATAGAAAGTAGAAAGAGAGAAGGTTGAGGTGGTAAACGATGTTGCACATACTTTCTTATTGTTCTATTTGGTTATCATCGAGAGTAATAACAGAAAGTGAACAAGTAAAGCTAAAATTATATATTAAAGAAGGCTAAATGACACTTAAATGTCTTATAGTTTCACACTATTGGCACTTATATACCTTTAGTTGTATATCGTAGCATTTATATACCACGAGTTGGTAAAATTTGGTATATTAATACCCTATTTTTGCAAACGTGATATTTTTATTCAAAAGTTCCCATATAATATTATATGCTATTCTTATAGTTATTTCTCTATTAAGTTTGTTGAATTCATTGTTAAATCTTTTAAAAATGGAAAAATTGCTTCAAGGCCTTAAAATTCAAGTTTTAAATGTGCCCCCCCCCCCCCAAAACTTCTCCTAATGTGCTGCAGCCCCTATAATTTGAAAAAAATTTATGTCAGGCCTCTTTCCCCAAGTTCCAATGAACCTCCTCCAAAATCCCTATTTTACCCTCTCCCTACACCTCCCTCCTCCTCCCTCCGGTCCCCTTCAGCCCCCTCCCTCCCTCCCCCGCCTCCCTCCCCTCCCTCCCCTGCTCCGCTTCCTCCCCTATCCCTCCCCCACCTCCTCCCGATCCCCCTCAATCCCCTCTCCCGCCTCCCTCCCCAGCTTCGCCTCCCTCGCCCGCTCAAACCTCCCTCCTACACCTCCTTCCTCTTCCTCCGGTCCCCCTCAGCCCCCTCCCCCGCTCCGTCGCCGGCGTCGGCGCCGTCCCGAGGAACTTCGCGTCTCATGTTAACTATTATAGTTAACATGTTAACTATTATAGGTAACATGTTAACTATTACAGTTCACACATTGAGCTCAAAACATATTTATGAAATTATAATAGTTAACATGTTATCTATAACAGTTAACATGTTATCTATAATTGTTAACATGAGTTGGGATGAGCTGACATGAGAAAGAGAAAGGGTAAAATTAGGATTTTAGGAGCTGACATGTCTAATCATGAGCTGGAATCATGATGGAGGGCCCTGGACACAATTTTTTCAAAAAAAAGGGTTGCAACACATTAAAAAAATGTGAGGGGCTGGGACACATTAAAATTTGAATTTTGGGCCTAGAAGCAAATTTTCCTTTAAAAAATCTATTTTTGAAATAGAATTATGATTCATTTGAATTAGAATTTGGGTAACTTTAATAGTAACTTAATAAATATTGATAGTTAGAAAGCTCCAAAATTAACATATGAATGTTATATGGAAACTTTAAGATGAAAATTTTCATGTTTACAAAATATAAGGTACTAAAGAGCCAAAATTGACCAACTAATTAAGGGTATGTAAATGCGGTCCGGGTGCGCGGTCCGGGTGCGTGGTCCGGCGCATGCTCTTTTGCATGTGCTGTGCTGTAAACGAGCTTAAACGTTTTGAATGTGCTCACTTAAAACTAGCTGAACGTTTTGTATGTTACAAACGTTACAAGAATTGAATAGGTTTTATTGCAGACGTTACAAACGTTGCGTGCAATAACTGGAATTCAAATCTATGTCTCTCATGAACCTTATATAAGACCTTCTTCTGATCATTTGAAACACACAGAAAAAAGAAATCTCATGTCTTCTTCTTCTTTTAATAATTCTATAAACTATTAAGTATTGGAGGTTCTAGCAAACTGAAGTAGTAGTCGTGGTGTTCACAAGAAGAAAGCGCTTCTTTGGACTGCAGCCGTCTTATCCTCGGAAGTACTGTGCAGAGCCAACGCTATCGTAGATGGGGCACAATTTCTTCAAGGTCAGTCCTCTGTTAAGAGGGCGATTCGGCACTTCTGTAAAGTATTTCAAACTTGAAGTGTTTTAATATGATGTTTCTAACTTTCTGCTCTTTTCTTTCATCCCTGTATGGTTTGTTCTGTACTAATTTGGATTTGTTTTTATGCTTGTTTTTCCATATATATATATATAGTTTATCTTTAACTTTTCATGGCTTATTGATTTTGGGGGTTATTCTAGAATATCAACTTAATTAGGAAGTGAAGGAGAAACAATTTTTTTTACAAAATTTTAGTTTTTTGAGTTTAGGGCAAGTGAAGAACGAAATTAGAGCTTTGTTAGAAATGAGTAAAGGTGATTTATTATTCTCATTTGTACACATGGCATACAATTACGGTTTTGACAACAAATTTTGTTTTTAAAAGGAAAAATTGCTTCATAATACATAGCATGTTAACATAATCCGTTAACACGTTAAATGAGAACTATAATACGTAAATGGATAACTATAATACGTAAATGAACTATATTAACGTGTTATAGTTAACATGTTAACACGTTAAATGAGAACTATATTAATGTGTATATGAGAACTATACTTAACATGTTAAATGAGAACTATATTAACATGTATATGACCCGAAATAACAGTTAACTGATAATGGATTACAAATAACAGTTAACGGTAAATGACAGTTAACGAATAATGGATTACAAATAACAGCTAACAAATTACAAATAACAGTTAACGGATAATTCATTATAGTTAACAATTTATAAATTACAGTTAACAGATAATTCATTATAGTTAACAGTTTATAAATAACAGTTAACAGATAATGATTAATAGTTAACAGGATAAAGGTATTTGTTAACAAATTACAAATAAATTGCAAAAAATAACATGTTATCCTGATCTCATCTTTTGGTACACTACGCTCTCATAATTTAAAATTAACAATTTCTAAATTATATTTAACATAAAACATGTAAACGTTAACAGTCAATCAACTATAGTAATTTGAGCTGCTTCTTTTGATGAATTCAAGCTTTAATAGTATAACATATCTCTAAGCAACACCATTCTTGTGTGACATTTTATCAAGCACCTTTATTGCATCCATTCAGTGTCCTAGCAATATACGTTCCCTTATATCAAGGCCCAATGCCAGCTGAAGAACCTGAGGATCCGAGATATGTCAGGACTTTTGCTCGATGACGTTTCAATAGTGGTTGATGTACTCAGACTCAAGCTCATAGAAGCTGTTGAGCATTAAGCTGTAACTCTTATGCTCGGGGTCTTTAATCGAGGCAAACATACTAGCCTTTTTAGGATCGGTGTCAGCTGACGAGTCGATATGGGACTTGAGCAGGTTGATTTTGTGAGGGAGACCTGTAAGGACGAAGTCCTCCGCCTTCGACGGGAGTGTTTGGAGGGGCTTGAGCTTTCCAAGAACGTCAAAGGCGCAATTGGTGAAGGCACTCGTCCCTTGGAAGGAGAGCATGGGAATTCCATGCTCGGTGACAGCGTCGACGGTCCACGAGAGGAACACGTCGGTGACGACGCAGTCGGGGGAGAGGTTGGCGAGGACGCGGTCGAAGGGCTCACGGAGGGCGGTGACGACGGCTATGAATGTGAGGCGCATCACCGGGGTAGTGGCCGATTGAGGTTTTGGCACTCCATGGGGAGGTCGGGGACGGAGGGGAAGGGGACAGTGAGGAGGTTGACGCCGGAGACAGCAATGACGAAGGAGGAGGCGTTGCCGAGGGTCATGAGGATAGTGGCT